CCTTTCAACTACAAAGGAAGACGCTCCTATGATCATATTGGTGTTCTCAAGGAGTATCTGCGTAATGTGACTCAAGCACCCTTGAAACCGCAACAACGCATGAAGATACTGAAGAATAATCTCATCCCTCGATTGCTCTATACTTTAACTCTAAGCATTACGCATAAGAACACATTAAAGAATCTAGACCAATTGATTCGTGCTTCTGTCCGTAAGTGGCTCCGCCTTCCAACTGATACTCCAACAGCATACTTCCATGCCAACATCAAGAAAGGTGGCCTTGGTATTATGAATCTTGCGTCAACGATCCCTAGCCATCGTAGAAAACGAATCCAAGCGTTACTCAACAACCAAAATCAACTCTTGCGCAGCATTGCATCCTCTGATACTTTTGCCCCGTTTCTTCGAATTTGCAACCTTCCCATGCGTGCCAACAGACAAGTAGTCACCTCCGCTGAGGAAGCTCAAGATAGCTGGGCACAACAGCTCTACTCATCTCTCGACGGTCGAGGACTTAATGAATCCGCCAATTGTCCTGATTCCCATAAATGGCTCTTAAATCCTGACACTATCTTCCCTCGTCTCTATATACGAGCCATTCAACTGCGTGGCGGACTGCTTGGTACCAAAGTCAGAAAAGCGCGGGGTCGTCCTACGGAAGATATCTATTGCAGAGGAGGCTGTGCTCAACCGGAAAGCCTCCAGCATATTCTACAACATTGTGCGCTGACTCACGACGTACGCTGCAAAAGACACAACGACGTTTTAAATCTGATTGCTGATAAGTTGCGGAAGCTTAAAACCAGATTTTATGTTGAACCATGCATTCCAACATCATCGTCATTTTGTAAACCTGATCTCCTTATCCTGATTGGTGGTGTTGCATATATACTGGATGTTGCAATATGCAGTGATGCCTACATGAATATAAGCCACGCTGCCAAGATATCTAAATATGGTGCCCCTGCAATTGTTGCTGCTTGCAAGCGATTTCTTTCTGTCATGGGACATACAGTTGAGAAAATTGTTCAAATCCCAATTGTTATCTCATATCGTGGATTGATCAATACACTCTCAGCAAGGTATTTACACAGACTTCTCTTTACGTCTCTTGATATTTCACACCTCTGTATTTCTGCTATAAAAGGTTCTCTAAAAGTTTATGATACTTATATGCGTGGGACATATAGACATTCTGGCTAACAATTTTGACCCTTTCAACTTTTGGTATCTGGTTAATTCAATTGATTACTTGTGTCCATTGACTTTCTCACGATTTTCAATAACTCTGTTATTTGTGCTGTACGCTGTATCCTGCTCAATCACATGCATTTACGTAATCCTAAAGAACTGATGTCTTAATGTCGATATTTTAACCAGTCTTTCAGTGGTAACCATATTGAACATTTCTGTATTTGATAACCTGTGTACTTATGTAACTCTTATATACCTATTCACTCAACATTCATCTACTGTAATCCAATCAATCTAATAGCTGACAATAACCTGAGCTGCTGAATTAAACGGACAGTACAATATTCCTGAGAGGGAATGGACAATTTGTACAATATTCAAGTTGAAAGTAAGGATGGAATAGAAATTACAGGGTTAAAAGAAAGTTCAAAGCATAAATAGTTTTCCTGTCCGTTTAATTCAGCAGCTCAGGTTATTGTCAGCTATTAGATTGATTGGATTACAGTAGATGAATGTTGAGTGAATAGGTATATAAGAGTTACATAAGTACACAGGTTATCAAAAACAGAAATGTTCAATATGGTTACCACTGAAAGACTGGTTAAAATATCGACATTAAGACATCAGTTCTTTAGGATTACGTAAATGCATGTGATTGAGCAGGATACAGCGTACAGCACAAATAACAGAGTTATTGAAAATCGTGAGAAAGTCAATGGACACAAGTAATCAATTGAATTAACCAGATACCAAAAGTTGAAAGGGTCAAAATTGTTAGCCAGAATGTCTATATGTCCCACGCATATAAGTATCATAAACTTTTAGAGAACCTTTTATAGCAGAAATACAGAGGTGTGAAATATCAAGAGACGTAAAGAGAAGTCTGTGTAAATACCTTGCTGAGAGTGTATTGATCAATCCACGATATGAGATAACAATTGGGATTTGAACAATTTTCTCAACTGTATGTCCCATGACGGAAAGAAATCGCTTGCAAGCAGCAACAATTGCAGGGGCACCATATTTAGATATCTTGGCAGCGTGGCTTATATTCATGTAGGCATCACTGCATATTGCAACATCCAGTATATATGCAACACCACCAATCAGGATAAGGAGATCAGGTTTACAAAATGACGATGATGTTGGAATGCATGGTTCAACATAAAATCTGGTTTTAAGCTTCCGCAACTTATCAGCAATCAGATTTAAAACGTCGTTGTGTCTTTTGCAGCGTACGTCGTGAGTCAGCGCACAATGTTGTAGAATATGCTGGAGGCTTTCCGGTTGAGCACAGCCTCCTCTGCAATAGATATCTTCCGTAGGACGACCCCGCGCTTTTCTGACTTTGGTACCAAGCAGTCCGCCACGCAGTTGAATGGCTCGTATATAGAGACGAGGGAAGATAGTGTCAGGATTTAAGAGCCATTTATGGGAATCAGGACAATTGGCGGATTCATTAAGTCCTCGACCGTCGAGAGATGAGTAGAGCTGTTGTGCCCAGCTATCTTGAGCTTCCTCAGCGGAGGTGACTACTTGTCTGTTGGCACGCATGGGAAGGTTGCAAATTCGAAGAAACGGGGCAAAAGTATCAGAGGATGCAATGCTGCGCAAGAGTTGATTTTGGTTGTTGAGTAACGCTTGGATTCGTTTTCTACGATGGCTAGGGATCGTTGACGCAAGATTCATAATACCAAGGCCACCTTTCTTGATGTTGGCATGGAAGTATGCTGTTGGAGTATCAGTTGGAAGGCGGAGCCACTTACGGACAGAAGCACGAATCAATTGGTCTAGATTCTTTAATGTGTTCTTATGCGTAATGCTTAGAGTTAAAGTATAGAGCAATCGAGGGATGAGATTATTCTTCAGTATCTTCATGCGTTGTTGCGGTTTCAAGGGTGCTTGAGTCACATTACGCAGATACTCCTTGAGAACACCAATATGATCATAGGAGCGTCTTCCTTTGTAGTTGAAAAGAATACCCAGATATGTGAATTCTTCTGTTGGCGAAATTGCAGGAATCGCTTGGCAGTTGATGTTGAAGACAGTTGGAGCAAGAGCAGTGATTTTACGCTTCCTATCAGCAACAATATTGATTGTACGGCTCTTGGTAGCGTTGATACAGAGACCAGCTTGTTCGAGTGCAGTTGCAATACAACTTAGTTTACTTTGAAGAGCATCACCGTTCGGGGCGAAGATAATAAGATCATCGGCATAGGCGATATAGTGCAACGGGTGTCCATCTATAAAGATGGGTTCATGAGCATCGAGAGCGTTGAGGACCTCGTCCATGGTCATAATAAATAATAATGGAGATAAAGGGTCACCTTGTTTAACACCTCTGCTAGGATGACATTTAATCTTGTGAAAGAGACTATAAGAATTAGAATAGTAATTGGCGAGGTATTCGCAGAGCATCGAAGGAGCACCAAAGCTTTGGGCAACGCGTAGGATGGTTTGATGGAGAACACTATCAAATGCTTTTGAGATATCGAGGATAGCAATGGCACAAGTTTTATGGTTGGAATGAGTTTCCCGCAGGATAGCATGGAGCAGATTTGTGGCTTCAAAGCAGCCATCACGTTGAAGAAAGGCAAACTGCAGTCTGTCCATAGGAAAAGAAGTGACCCACCTTTTGGCGATGATCTTATGGAGACATCGCGTAACAACAGACGTAATGGAGATGGGCCGGAAGTCGGAGGGATTGTCAGGGCGGGAAGATTTAGGGATAAAGGTGACACGCGAGGCAGCTAATGTTGATGGTAAGAAAGAAGTCAGCAGTAGGGTATTTAGGTAGCCGGCGAGACTTGTGGGCTTGATTCTTTGGAGGTCCTTGGCTGATATACGATCCACCCCAGCGGCAGACTTGGTCATTTCCTTCAGCGCCCACTTAATTTCGTCAATCGTAACAGGCGCGATCAGATCGTTGTTGGTAGGAAGGTATTGTATCCGGTAGTGTTGGGCGCGTGAACGTCTCAGTCCAGAATTCATCGAAGCCACCAATGGCTAGGGGATTACACGTGAATGGGTCCTTCCATCGACCATCAAGGACCGTATTGGCAGCATCTTTGGGAGATCGATGAAAGAGCGTCTGAATATGAGCGTAGAGTAAGCGACGCTTTTTCTTATTGCTCAAGTTGGGGGGTAGACCGTCGGAGTGATGTGGTTTTGAAGGCCTCCATAATACCGGAAAAACGGTGTTGCAATGGTCATTCAATAGAGTTCGGACGTCGTTGATTGAGGCTTCATTGATGGAGAAGCTTTTGATTGCTTGCAATATAGAATCGGTCTTCAATCTGTCGTTGTTGTGCAGGAATTGTGAAAAGAGAGTGGTGGTGTCAATAGTGTTGATATAGAGCGGTGAAGCTGACCCGGATGTAGGATGCGGAGTGGCGTAAGGCAATATTGAGTCAGAATTTTCTACGTCGGTTTGGCAAACGTCGGAAGGCGATTGTTCGTGTGATAAGACAGCTGGCACTGTTCTGATACATATGTTGAGATATGGCTGGATGGTCACACAGGACGCTTCAACATAGTTTGTTGGTTCAATAGGAGAAACATCCTCCTCATTGATACATAAGGATTGGGTGGAAACAAATTGCAAACTGTCGCCATTGTCAGAGATGATAGAATCGTCAGAATCGGATGAGATGGTGATTACCATAGGTGACTGCCGTAGACTGCGCCGGGAGCGAAAGGGACATTGATCGAAGGAGACAAAAACATTGCACTGTGACTCCGATGAGGATAGGGAAGATTCGGAGTCAATCTCGTCCCCTGAAACGGAGGAATGGACGGATACGCACATCGAAGCGGGAACTGGTTGATGAACGTCATTTGAGGCAGGAGAAGCAGAATTGTTTGTCGAGTCAGATGATAGGCTACTCTCGCTGGAATCATCGATTGGCAAAACATCATTGTGGCTTGGGACATCAGAGGAGGCATCAATAGAGGGATTAGCAGCGTTGGGTATATGTGGGAGGCGTTCAACTTGAATAATTGGCGGAGTTGATACTGAGAAACGACGCCATCCCAACCTGCCTAGTCTCCGACGAATTGCTTCTGTAGATCGGTCTGTAAATAAATCCGCCAAAGCGCAGTGTAATTGGGCATTGCTTAGTGAGGGGTCATCCAGTTGAGAGGCGGCAGCAGTGAGGAAAACATCTTCATTGGGGGTCCAAACACGGAGTGTAGGACGAGTAGATCGCGACGAGGAAGAAGCAAACGACAGCGATGATCCAGATGGCGATGTAGTTTGAGAAGATATTGAACTGGAGGCGGATGAAGATGAGGACGGTGGAGCCTGCCAGCGTAGCATCTTTAGCCGGCTCTTGATGGCCTCCACGGAACGATGCGGTAGCTGCGTATGCAGGAAGGAGTAGAAATCCAGCTTACGGGAAAAACGTTCGACATTGGCGTTCGCGAGCGTAACGAGGGACAGCTCCTCCTGAGCTGTCCAGTTGCGTGGGAGTCTGCTGGAAGACATTATTCGTCCAAGAAGAATGCTGTTATATTCATTAGGATGAGCATGACGAAGATGTTGGGTCAGCCCCAAAGACGTTACAAATCTTCGCTGACAGTAGGGGCAGTTGTAATTAGAGATGAGGATGGAACTGGATGAACTTGAAGAGGTTGAACTCCCTGAAGCTGCTGAAGAATTGGAGGGACTTGAAGGGATGGGCGAATTATGCTGGGAAGGTTCATGAGAGGAAGACGAAAAATGACGGACAGGAGTGGACGGAGAGGAAGAAGTGGAAGAGAAGGATGAAGAAGGTATCGAAGAAGGTGTGTCAGCATATTCCGTGGCAGAGGCCACAGAGGAAGATGACGAAGAGGTTGACATTGCTGACGAAAAGCAGGAGAGTGCAGTATATACAAACTCGTGTTAATGAGGGACAACCGCTGCGGGTGAGTTCTATCCGAAGACTATAGAATGAGGTATGTACAATGAGCGGGAGGAGCGCCAGGAAAAGACAAAAACGAAAGTAAGCGTTATTTAAGTGAAAAATATAAAAGAAAATCCAAGTTTGGGGGCTCGTAGAATAATGGCGGAGGGGGTGGTGGAGAGGTAAGGGGGGTTAATGGATAGAAGAGGGTGGGTTCTATCCAAAGACTATGGAATGGAATATGTACAATGACCAGGGGGGCGGCAAGAAAGCACAAAAACGGGGGTAGGCGCGATTTGAATGAAAGGGGAGGGGGGGTGGTAACAAACGCTATCTCAAGAACGGGGGGTGATACGGCCACGGGACCAAGTGCAATCGAATCCTCGTGCCGAAAAATGAAAAAAAGGTCTGGGGGCCGACGTCGAAATCACAACAGGGGCAAAGATAGAGGCAAAAAACTCTCCAATTATGTGATAGAGGGGGGAAGGGGGGGTGGTGAGGAAAAAAGGCCAAAAGATTTGAGTTCCTAAGGTAGGAATTACCATATGAGGAAAGAAACTGGGTCAAAAGGGCCCAGTATAAGACGGAAAAAATAATATATAGTATATATAGAAAAGTGATGACACAATCTTAGCAACAAAATTGATGAAAAATAAGAGAAAGACCGAGTTTGGGGGCTGGTAGATCAGAGGGGGAGGGGGTGACCGCAGAGTATAAGTGCTCGTTCGAAAGTGGAGGAGGAGTTCTATTGGGAATGGAAGGTATTGGGGTTGTACAGGTAACAGATGGGGAATGGGAGGGTTGCAAACTCGAGAAAAATCGTGAAAATGAAGAAATTGTAAAGAAATTGGACCAATCAGAAAACCCAATTAGTCCGTTGACTTCGGATCGATAAAAAATTAATGGGGCCTGTGGAGATAGCGTTTAGCTGAATTCCGGCCAAAGGCGAAATTTACTACTAAAAGTGATACAGGAAAAGAGCAAAAGTTACTGAAAACGGGTATGAAAATGAGCAAAGATGAAAGTTTGACAGTGAATAGTTCAGTAGGGGAAGCAGCTGAAAGAGTACAGTTCGCTGCTTTTAAGAGAACTAACGGCACTTTCTTTGGAAAATAAAAGACTACGGTTGGAGGAAGCAAAGGTGAGGAAACACGGGCTCGAACTTGAAGTTATTCACGAAAATAAGGGTGAAAAAACGAAGGAAATCGGAAAAAGGGGGGCTCCTAACTCAGCAGTCGTGTCGAACCACCACAAGAGCCAAGTGAGAATGTGCAGAGGGGACTGAGCTTAGTTGAAAGGGACCAAAGAAAGCTACGCAGGTGGGAAGAAGGCGGAGCTGTAGGGGCTCGAACTTAAGAAAAAACTAAAAATGACGAAAAAAGGGGTGAACTGCGGAAGAAAAGGTACCTTGTTTCCACTTCGAAGGAAGTGCGGAAAGTAAAAGCGATAGGGGTAAGCGTGTAGTACAGGGGGTAGAGAATCAGGTACCAAGGTCTTTGAGAGCCCAAGGTTATTCTCAAGGTCACAGGGAATTTAGTAAAGCGGGGGTATTTAACGAAGAAAGAGGCCTCACAGCACTTGAAAAAATAACGGGAGTTTGAGGCAAAATGGTCACAAAAATCAGAAAAGGTGAGAGGAATAATATGAAGATGGATTTGGAGTACAATATCGAAGAGTGGGGATAAAAAACGGAAAAAACTGAAAAATGGGGGTATGGAAAGGGCACTAGTAGTACAAAAAGTTGTGCAGGGAAGGAATGACGGAGAACTAGTGGGTAAAAAATAGATTTGGACTCACTAGATAAGATAAGGGAACTAAATAATAAGGACTGAAAGGTTGAATAACGGTCAAAGAGAAAATCGACTGGTGAGTCGCGGGTACTTCTTAAGTCAGAGTAGGCAAAAGACCGAAAAATGAGGGGAAGATTCAGGAAATGTAGAATAAACAGGTACAAATTATATATCAGACGAAAGGGTCTCGCGAGCTGAAACTAATTATTACAATTTCAACGACAGGAATTGGAAGCAGCACGAATAAGGAGCAAAAATTCGTTAAAAAGGGCCAAATTATGACAGGTATGTCTAAATTAAGGAGTGAAAATCTCTAAATCAAAGATTAAGTCGGCAATCTATGAGTCAAAAGAACGCATTCGACGAGTAGAAACACCATGTAAAAATTCAGGAAGAGGGGAGCAGTTGTTTCGGAGAACCAAGCGAAAATGTAAAGTTCAGGGAACAGGGCAAAAAGGGGGGTTTTGGGTAATTACCAAACTAGGCTAACTTAAGCTAAAAACATGCAGTTTTTTCTATAAAAAGCACTATTTTAATGAAAATAAACTATTTAAAACTGGCAGAAGTGGTAAAAATAGCTAATAGTCCTAATATCTGAGATGATAATACTAGCCTGGAACACCAGATAGCTGAAAATAGGGAGTTTGCAAAAAACGGAAAACCACTAAGTAAAAACCACTGAAAAAGTCTTAACTAGTCAATAAATAACGAAAAACCTCGGAAAAATGTCAAGACTCACCGAATTGAGCTTGATAAGTATGAAATTTTATAAATCCACAAAGTGCACAATGCAGGGTTATAGGAACGTCAGTATATATAATAAATCCAAGGAGATAAAGTGTGTATAGGGTTTTCAAATGTGTAGAGTGTGAAAATGAAACAGTTTTCAACGGATTTTATGTGCAAATAT